AAGATAAGATAAGATAATAAGATTCTGATAAGACATCATAATTAAGCATAATTGGCTCATGCATATTTATTCATGTGAACTTACAGTTATTTTGCGGGAGATAGTTCCTACTTGCTGAGCGAAAGCTCATTATAGAATGTTTATACTGTAGGTAAGCAACCGGCATATAATGCCTGATGGACTGCTGGCGAGTGGACGAACGATGTGGGGCTCGGGATATGGATACCACTCACAAATATTTCCGCAATCAGCTTTATGTTATAAATAGTTTTGTTAATTATGATTCTGAAACAGATATGTTAAGGTTTAAATATTTTAATTAAGAAAGCAATTTTGTATCTTATGTTTATTATAAGACCTTTAAAAAAAAAATGTTCCGTAAATTTTAAGAAATTTCAGTAAGTACAAGTTAAAAAGTTAGTTACAGTGGCGGCCTCAAAGGAAGGTCGCTACACCAGCTGACAAGTTCTCCGAGATTTTTGGGACAGGATCACTAAAATCATGCAAACGAAGATGCCAAAGACGTTGCCAAGGTTGCTGAACTCAGAATGAATGGCTTCGCTTCCACTTAATCATCACCATCATCATCATTATCATCATCAAGACGTTGCCAAGGTTGCTGAACTCAGAATGAATGGCTTCGCTTCCACTTGATCATCACCATCATCATCATTATCATCATCATCATCTTCTTCTTCTTCTTCTTCTTCTTCTTCTTCTTCTTCCTCTCCACTTCTACTTGATCCAAACTTTTCATCAACGTCATCGTCATCGTCGTCGTCGTCTTCATCATCATCATCTTCTTCTTCTTCAAAATATATCACCCCGCTTCCACTTGATCCAGACTCTTCACCAACGTCATTACCTTCTTTGTCTTCAAACTTGAAACCAAATCTCTCTGCATCTTGTCTATATAGAAGACGGACCCCGCATTTCTTAACTTTGATACGTGTATCTGAAGTTCGAAAAGAAATTTTTACTGTAGCAGAACTAGGACCAGCTGACAAGTTCTCCGAGATTTTTGGGAGAGGCTGAAGTCGTTGCTCAAGCAAATGAGGTTGCCAAAGACGTTTCCAAAGACGATGCTCAAAGGAGGTGAAGTCGCCAAAGGAGGTGTCAATAAATATGAGCATGTGTCTGGAACTCGAGACGTCAACGTCGCTAAGTTTGAGCCGTGGACGATCAAGTACACCGCAACATTCAAAAAAAGAATACCAACAAAAGGGAGCAATATGACTGAATCTCATAAATCCCGTCCATGACACCAATTTACCATTAGGGTATGTGTAATCAATATCATAGTTGACTCTCGGCAAATTTGCGGTATCCCATCGAGAATTTCCAAAATCAAGAACAACACACATGGCGAGACCCAAGTAGTTTTTGTTATGCCACTTCTGTGGTGGATTGGGAAGGTTGAAACATATTGAAGATCCCTTACTCTTACGAGTGAACCACCTTGGAATTTCACTTCCTGGCAAGCAAATCTCACATTTCACCTGTGCGTAACATGGATGAGAGAGTCAAGAGAGCATTTTAGTTGAACACCAAAAAAAAAAAAAAGATAGAATTTGATCAAGAAGAGAGACATATATAGACATACCATGTTTTCATATCTTGAACACCAGAGCATACGAAAAACTCTAAATTGTGCTTCATCCCCAAGAGCTTTGCGTGTGTTATCATCTAACTTTGGGCAACCAATAAATACAAAATGCTCTGAATCATAACCTTCTTCACAGAGATCACCCCAATCTTGCTTTACTAAATTAACTGAACTTGATACCGTCTTCAACGACGTCAAGTGGTATGCATCAACCTCTGTTAGAGATCGTGGAAGAGTCGGTAAAGATGTAAGTTTCGGGCAATAGCAAACACTGAGTTTTTCTAGAGAGATTAAATTGGAGATGCTTTCGGGAAGAAACTCAAGATTTGGACAAAAATGCAGGATCAATGTTGTAAGCCCAGTGAAATTCGTAATTGAATGGGGCAGTTCTTTAATAGCTGCATACTCTAAACGAAGAGTCTCTAGGCACTCCATAGGCTCCATGATTTCAGGAAATGTTTCCAACTTTGAACTAATTTCAAAATCAGTAATCTCCCTCCATAATGGTGGAAATGCTCTGATTGCTGATTTTATTGGGACACTACACATATTTAAACAAAAACAAGCACCGTAGGGGTCACGTTTCAATACTGGGGTGATCACTTCTATTCTGCCTAAATTTTTTGGAAGCCCTGACAACTTGCACAGAGAAGAGCATCCAAGCAAGAAGAGGTCGTTAAGGTTGTCGAGATATTGAAAAGATGAAGGAAGTTCAACTAAATTCTCACAGAAGGCAAGACATACGCCCTCAATATTTGGAGCCATTGACAGATCTGGAACTCGAATTAGATGCCTAGAGCCTTTGAGATCGAGCCATTTCAAGTTATCCAAGCGCTGTAATAAAAGAGGCAAAACTAGAATAACTAAAATGTACCTTAAAGTCGTTACATTTAAGATGAAAAATAGGTCAACGTTAAACATACCACGACACCGTCCCAAAGTTGCGTAAGATTACTAAAGGGCATGTAAAGTCCAACAAGATTCTTTGCCGTAAAATTTGTTGAGAAGGATTTCGAAGGGTATGCATCCCATTGGAGATAGACAAGTGAACCAGGAAAAGGCAGAGGACCTTGAGGAAGAGATACTTTTCTCCCACTGATCATGAGCAATTTTAATCTGCGCATCTTTGAAAAGGTTATAGGCTTCAAGCTGATCTCTTCATCAAGCTTTGACGTATCAAGAGATATTCCTTCAATCGTTTTAAGCTCCTGGCAATCAAAAATAGAGTATAGAGGAAGATTTAAATAATTATTCTAAAAAATACTAACTAAAATTTATATAAAGTTTGCTTAACTCCTATTCAAAATCTTAGTGGAAACCACAATATTTTTTTAATATAAAAGTCTGTTGAACTCATTTTCCAAGGAACTTCAATGCATTTTGTACTTACTCTGTTATATTCGAACGCATT